ATATGTGGCTAATTACGTTCAAGATATGGTTAATGGATATGTTGAAGTTATTAGAGAGAGATAAAGTACAGAATCAACAAATTTTGAGCTATACAACTCAGCATAATATTCATTGTAAATAATAATTAGTAATTAGCCACTAATAATTAGTAATTAGTTGTCTTCTACCCAGAGTTGTCAATAGCGGGTGCTCCGGCTGCTATAGCGGCGCACCGTAGCGGTGCGGCACCCCCCCGCGTGCTATTTAGGGTGCGGTAGCGGAGATGAAAAAGCGGCCGCTTCAGCCGCGTTCCCGGGTAGCGGGTAGCAGGAAGTTCCCGGGCGGAGCGGCTCCGGTTCTCTTTTTTTTTTTTAAACAATTTTCTGGGCCAAATTACTTAAATGCCTCTGTTTTATAACAATTTTTGTTTTCTTTCTCCCTCATTCGCTGTGTTTTATCGTGCCCTAATTCCTCAACTCTCCTTCTACGATTCTGCCGCCATCTCCCTGCAACCCTCCTTCTTCGATTCTTCCTCCATCTCCTTCTGCCATCTCAGGTAATTTCTTCTAATTCTTCAACTTATTCTACTTCAACTTATTCTACTTCTTTTCTTTCTACTTCTTTTCTTTCTACCTTCTACTTCTTCTATTTTTGTTTTGTTGTAAACACTGTTTCTTTCTATTTTGAAGAAGTTGAAGATGAAGAATTGGAGGAATATGAAGAAGATGAAGAATTGGAGGAATATTTTGATGATGCTACATGATTTCTATGTTTGCTTGAATTTTCATATGATAGTACTAAGTTTGAATTTGAATCTTTATGTTTTGAATCTTGATTAAGCATTGTTCTTGGTTTGACATTAGATTTTATAAATATTTTATGAGTGTTGTAAAATTAGTTTAGTATTACATGACATATGTTTTATAGATTATTATATAATTATTAGTATACAAAAAGTTATCCCGCTATTCCCACTTTTCCCATTCCCGGGGATCGGCCGCTCCGCTCCGCTATCCGGGATTAATAACTCTGCTTCTACCATATTTAGAATTAGCATTTAAAGTGATTTGTCCCTTGTATTCTATAAATACCTTTCATGTATTACTTACTACAATATGAAAAGAAATACATATTGTTTGTTTCTTTATGATATAACAAGGTGTTGCAACTCATTAACCATCAACTGAACACAACTAACCACAATGAATCTTGATGGGTAAGGTACCTCGAAGCTTAGAGTCTGAAGACTCGGCTCTGGTCACTAGGAACTTCAACAAAGGTAAAAAGTCGGACAAATCTTGGTACGATCACTGAAAACACACATAGCGTTTGCGTGAAACATGTGGGAAATTCAATGGCAAGCCTCTGAATTGAAAGAAGAAAGGTGGTAACAAAGCTCATGCATTCCAGACCAGTAACTCTGATCAAGAGCATCGATCTTCTTCAACTCAGGTTTCACTCACACCAATAAGTCTGATCAAGAGTATCAATCTTCTTTAACTCAGGTTTCACTCACAGCATAACAACTAGATAAACTGTTTAAACTCCTTGAAAGTCATTCTTTAAAAATCTGACTGGGCATTTTTATGTTGTCAGAACACTTCAAACTTAACTGGGCAACACTTGCTGTCAAGTTTTTCCAATTAAACGCTATTTATACTTTTCCAGTAGCTGTCCGTATAGTTTTCTGCAGCCGTCGGTACCGCTCTGCACATTTTTCAGTCGCTGCCTGCACAGTTCCAACCGCTGTTTCAGCCGCTTTCTACACAATTCCAGCCGTTGTCCCTATATTTTGTAGGTTGATTTCTTCATCGAATCTTGTTTTCTTTGGTATCTTATACATAAATATTTGGTTGTTGCTCCTTCATGATCAATAGTATGGAAAAGTCATCAAGTAATTGCAGTGTAGCGTATTCTGGTAAGTTTCCACTCTCATTTGGATTTCATGTCTCAGAAACACCTTCTTGTTTATTTTAGATATTAGATTCAGGAGCCACAGACCACATGACACCCTCTTCGAAACAATTCTCCACATATTTCCCTTCTCCCAGTAATAAAAAGATTTCTACTGCAGATGATACTCTTGTAACTGTAACAGGCATTGGAGATATCCAAATAAATCATTTTATAACCCTAAAAAGGGTCCTCCATGTTCCAAAACTATCCATGAACCTTGTCTCCATACAAAAACTTACAAATGATTTTTCCTGTAGTGTTACTTTTCATAATGATTGTTGTATATTTCAGGATAAGGAGTCAGGAAAGCCGATTGGACGTGATAGAGAAAAGAATGGTATTTACTATCTTGATGAATCATATCAGTGTACAAAAGGTCACTTGTCTCACTCATTTATGTCAGAGTCAGTACTCTCTAAAAAGGAAAAAATATTTCTTTTTCATTGTCGATTAGGTCATCCTTCTTTTGGAGTCATTAAAGTTTTGTTTCCATCTTTATTCAATAAGGTAGATATTGAAAGTCTTCATTGTGATGTGTGCGAGTTTGCTAAACATAAGCGTTCACATTTTCCATTAAACAACAAAAGAAGCCTTTTATCTTATTCACTCAGATGTTTGGGGTCCCTCAACCAATCCAAATGTAACGGGTGCTAGGCGGTTTGTTACTTTTATAGATGATTGTATCCGGGTTACTTGGGTGTTTTTACTCCAAAACAAGTCTGACGTCAGTACTGTTTTCCCAAAAAATTTCTACATGATTAAAAATCAATTTGGAGTAAACATCGAATGGCTTAGGTCTGATAATGGAAAAGAGTAGTCCAATCATGTTCTTACGTCTTTCTGTCAAAAAGTGGGAATTGTCCATGAGTCTTCTTGTGTTAAAACACCACAGCAAAATGGAATTGCAGAAAGGAAAAATAGACATCTATTAGACCAAACCCGAACACTATTGTTTCATCAAAATGTTCCAAAATATTTATGGGGGGAGGCTGTTCTCACTAGTACGTATCTTATTAATCGATTACCCTTTAGAGTATTAGGGTTCAAGAGTCCTATGGATGTTCTTTCTTCCTTCTACCCAAATTTGTCAGTAAGTAGTAATCTTAAACCTAAAATCTTTGGGTGTGTCTCATTTGTCCATTTGCATAGTCAAGACAGAAAAAAACTCGACCCTAGAGCCCTAAGATGTGTTTTTGTCGGGTATTCCTCTACTCAAAAGGGACATAAGTGTTTTCATCCTCCATCTAAAAAATTTTCCGTGTCGCGGGATGTAAACTTTCATGGGGAGGAACCGTACTTCACTCAACCTTATCTTCAGGGGGAGAATTTTAAGGAAGATTAGCTAGAAAATCTCGATCTTTCTGGTCTTGAGTCAAATACACTCAATTTGTCTAGTATTAAGTCAAATACATCTGGTCATGAGTCCAATACACTTAATCTCTCTGGTCTAGACCCAACCATATTTCTTAACATGGTATCAAAGTCTTGTTTAAGATCCAGTGAGCCACCTGCTATCAGGTTTCCGCTATCAGGCCACCTACCATTTATTTCCACGCTTCAGATGTCCAGTCCTGGACGTGGGGTGTGTTAAGAGTCCCACATCGGACAATATATGGCTTGAAAATGTGCTTATAAGTGGAGCAATTCTCTCCCTACAAGTTAGTTTTGTAGGGTTGAGTTAAGCCCAACCACATTTCTTAACACTCCTAAAAAAAAAAGGCAAGTATATTTTTGTTTATGAGAGTCGTGTTTTTATCTTGATATAAATCCCCCAGTCGTTAGGAAACCTGTTAGATCTTGCACTAAGCACCATGTGTCCAATTTTATGTCATATTCAAATGTGTCTTTGTCTTTTCTGCGTTCACATCCTAATTGTCTAGTATAGAGATTCCAAATAATGTACAAGATCTAGAAGTTCCAAAGTGAAGGAATATCATACACTGAGGAGATGAGAGCTCGTGAGAAGAAAGAAATTTGGAGTGTTATGATACAACCACATGGAAAAAAGAACTTGGGATGTAAGTGGGTGTTTACTGTGAATTATAATTTAGACGGGTCAATTAAAAGGTATAAGGCTCACTTGGTGGCTAAGGGTTTCACTCGGACCTATGGTATAGACTACTCAGAAACATTTGCTCCTGTTGTAAAACTAAACATTGTCAAAGTACTTTTATCACTTGTTGCTAACCTAGATTGACCTCTACATCAGATGGATGTTAAAGCTGTCTCCTTCAGTGGTGATCTAGAAGAAGTATACATGACCGGTCCTCCAGACTTTGAAGACAAATTCGTGTCAAAGGTATGCAAGTTGAAGAAGTCTCTTTATAGTCTAAAACAATCTTTGAGAGTTTGATTTGAAAGATTCACTCAGTCTATGAAGATTCAAATGTATTCAAGGACAAGCTGGCCACACTTTATTTGCAAAAAAGTTTCCCTCATGAAAAATGGGTTGCTCTGATATGTAGATGATAGTGTCCTCACTAAAGATGATACAAATAAAATTGGAATTGTTGGAGACTTTGAAATCAAGGATTTAGGATTTTTGAGATACTTTCTTGATCGAAGAAGAAATTGTGGTTTCACGGCAGAAATACATTCTCAGTCTATTGAGAGAAGCAGGGATGGGTGGTTTTTGGCCAGCTGACACCCTTATGGACCCTAATGCAAAATTTTGGAGAGAAGGAAGTGTTCCTGTTGACACCGGAACATACCAAAGAATGGTTGGTAAGATAATTTATTTGTCACACCGTGCATAATATGACCATAAAAAACTGTTTTCTTCTTGGTTGTTCTTTCTCCTCCTCTCAAAAAAAGACATGAATGAACATAATCAGAGTTGTCAACAATTTCAAGTTCAGTTTAAACTTTAAACAGGGCTGATAATCCCAGAATTTAACAAGTCAAATAATCCCAGAATTTAACAAGTCAAAAAACATAAACCCCTAATGAAAGAGTAAGATCAACATTTCTGAGAATAAAACATCGGTAAACAATAAAATTGTAACCAATACAATACTAAGCAATAATAAATTTACAGAAATTAAATAGGATAAACTGTTCTGACCTCAAATCTCCATATGTCAAAATTCAGAGACACATTAACAGCCAGACAATCTTCCGATGCCTGCAAAGTTATTTATACTTGAAACCTTTGCCATGACTTAACACAGCTCAGTGATTAAAAAGATTGCAAGAGTTCCGAAGATTACTGACCGAAAATTCAAATTTGAAAAGATCATGTGATGCAAGCAAGTGACATCTTAGACCCTAAAAAAGGTCGTGTCAGAAGCATTGAAAACTGGTATATACTTATGATAATTAAAAAAATATATTATAGCTCTAAATTAGTGGTCAAAAGTAGTGCTCACCTTATAGCTTCCCCATTTAATCAAACAGAATGGACAGGAGAAATTTTCAGAGACTGTTGACAAAGCTTTCAGTTAATATATGTGGGCTGATTGCCAGTAAGCATTTATATATAATATATAAAGAAAGTAAAAGAACATAAAGAGCTGACTGTTTATAACAGATCCCAGCTAACTAAGTACTAACCTCTAGCCTAATAATCAGTAATTGATTATTCTCATCAACAACAAAAAAAAAACATAATTGGCTGTATATTCTGAGATTAAAGCTAATATTCTCAATATAAATGTAAAAACTCCTCATTAATTTGAGAGGTGACAATTAGACTAATACTCGATGCGACTGCAAAATTTACTCGCAGGGGGGTAAGATTTTATCCGTCAAAGAGATCTGAGTCTGAGCATTAGTGAATTAGCTCCTGAACATTCAGTTGATAAGGCTCTATAAAATCTCACGAATTAACCATCCCCAAAAAGCTTGAGTTATCGGGAGAAAAGACTAGAAAATAAAGCTGAAATAGACAATGGTTAATTACGTCTCTTAATGCTGGATGGATAACAGACTAGGAAAGTCACTACAAACGTCGCTTAGCCACCAGAAAATAGAGCATGGTAAACAAAGGAAGCAATAATAGAGATTCCGTGTTTTGGGACCTGGAAGCATGACAGATTGGGTTATCAAAAATGGTACAATGTTAAAAGAGACATTAGTTGAGAGAAATTTTTTGCAAGCGAAAACACATGTTGGAGCATTTATGATTGACTTCACAGTCAATTACCGGGCAATCTCACTTCCCTATCTTATTGAACTTTGAGGTCAGGATACTAGACACATCACCTCTTTTAAATTTCTGAAAATATAAAGTTTCTGTCCTGACTGTGCTAATGTGGTCAAGAATGTTTGGCAAGAAAGGCATAGGATGCTTCGTGGTGGTTTTAGGCACCAATTTGAAAAACCTTAAGTTAAGAGACTGAAATAAAATTGTTTTTGGCAACATACATATTGGTGTGCAAAAGGCTCCTGAGGTTCTGGGTAGGATTGAATATGATGGCTATTCCAATCATCTTAGACATCAAGAAAAGGTTGCTCAGGTTGCCCTAGAGCATGCTTTAAAGATGGAGGGGGAGTATTGGCATGAGAAAACCAAGGTGAAGTGGCATGTGCAAAGAGACAGAAACACTTCCTACTTCCACAAGATTGCTAAGATTAGACATGTTACTCAGAAAATTACCTCTATTATGCATGATGACAAATTGTGGACTGATCCTGAGGATATTGCTAACCACTTGATTCTCATTTTGAGAAGATTTCCAATACCAATAATAATTGCTTTAATAGTGGTTTGATTGAAGAAATCATTCCCAGTTTTGTTGATTAGCGCAACAAGCATTCCTAGTAAAGAGGAGGTGAGGAATGTCATATTTTCCATAACCGCTGATGGAGCTCCATGATAGGATGGGTTTGGTGCTTACTTTTTCCATTATTTCTGGGACATTGTTGGCAATGACATGTTTGAGGTTTGTGTTCAATTTTTTCAAACTAATGGGATGTATCCTAATTATAACAGTAACATTGTGGTCCTTATTCCTAAAATTGACATAAAGTGGATCATTATAAACCTATAGCCATGGCCAATTTAAAGTTTAAGGTTATCACCAAAGTGCTAGCTGACAGACTCGTCACTATTTTGTTGAGAGGAATTTCACTGTGAAGAGGCCCACATGGGACAATATGACTTGAATATATATATATATATATATATATATATATATATATATATATATATATATATATATATATATATATATATATATATTATTGGGAGCAATTCTCACATTACAAGTCGGTTTTGTGAGGTTGAGTTAGGCTCAACCACAGTTCTAAGATGGTATGTTAGGCCACCAGCTATCAGGTTTTTGCTATCGGACCACCCACCATTTATTTTCGCACATGGTGTTAGGCGTGAGGGGGTGTGCTAAGAGGCCCGCATCGGACAATATATGGCCTTAATATATATTTATAAGGAGACAAACCTCGCCTTACAAGCCAGTTTTGTAAAGTTGACTTATGCCCAACCACAATTCTAAGAGACACTAACTGCATTTATGTTGTTTCTGAGGCTGCTAATATGCTCCATCATAGATCTTTGAGGAAATGTTGTCATGAAAACTGACATTAGAAAGGCGTTTGATACTATTGATTAGAGATTCTTGATTAAAGTTTTGCAATCTTTTAGTTTTTGCCCCAAACTTTGCAATTGGATTGATGTGAGGGATGGAACCAATGGTGATGGGAATTTGGATTGAACGAAGTTGGTGTTAGACCTCTTATAAAGAATATTTATAAGAGGCGAGGGAGAACATAATGTGGGCAGTAGACAGTTATTTATTTTTATAAACAGTTTATGTTTTTTAATAATCAATAGTTATTGGCAGTTATGGGGCAGTTAGGGATGATGTGGATATAAAATAAGGAAACCACATGTTAGAGGGTATCCAGAAAATAATTGAGTGGTTAATTGCAAAGGGAGAGAGACCCATGGCTCTCGAAATCCTTGGTAGGAATCACATATGTTCATATCAAAATAAATAAGTGGCTGCTGCTCACATTATGTTCTCCCTCTCCTCTTATAAATATTCTTTATAAGAGGTCTAACAGTTGATTGATCCAAGACAAAAACAGATCATTTTAAAGGAATCTAGACTCGTTAAAGAGAACATCTTTAGAGATGTAATGTCTTCATGAAGAGGAAAGACATTTATATCCTTTGTGAAATGTGGAGTACCCAAGAAAGAGACATTCATGGGAACAAAAAGACAACTTATGAGTACTGTAAGGGTGTAACAGTGGAAAATAGGTGCAGTCAAATACTTATAAGAATTCATAGTCACGTAGTTTGTTAAAAGGGGAGGTAAAAGGGATGGAGTTATTGATAGACACTACTTTAGGGGAGGATTAGCATGACTAGGTAGGGTAAGACCAAAATCCACTATATGTCTATGTTTTCTTTCAATAACACCATTTTGGTGATGTGTGTGAGGGCAAGCTAGCCTATGAACAATACCAGTTTCATTTGGAAAGGTAGCTAACCTATGAACAATACCAGTTTCATTTGGAAAGGTAGCTAGCCTGTGAAAACCAATTCAAGACGGGTGGTGTATGAAGTTTGTAAAGGTGGGGTATTCAATCTATAGCTACCTTGAAGAAGAATATCCTTAGTATCCTGAGATTTAACAACACCATAATCAGGATGAAATTCAAAGAACAGAGTTTTCTTTAGCAAAACGACTAACATTTATTAAATTCTTTGTAATGGAGTGGAGGGCACATGCAGTAGATTATGCAAAACAAGGCTAGTGTTAGGTGCTAAAGAAGTATTAAGAAAATATCAAGTTCCACATTGGTTAGAGGTGTTTGGAAAGAGTTTATATAGATTGATACCCTTCACCTTATAAGCCGGTTTTGTAGAAATGAGTTAAGCAAAACTAAGGGTCAGCCACTATCTATATCCACGCACCAAGCCCAATAGTGTTGGGGAGAGGTGTGAATTGAGAAAATTTCAAGTCCCACATTATATAAAGTGTGTGTGACGGGGTGTATTAAAACGATGATTATTGCAACTGTATTCTATTTTCATTGATTATTGCAAACAGTTCCCTATCCTACACCCAACAAAGGGTTAACCTACGCCCCTGTGACTAACTCTTAACAGCATATCAACAAACTCTAACATACTAGAGTTTAAGGCTATTACATGTTTGTTAAAATAGCAAGCTAATTAATACTTACACTAATAATGCTTTTTAATAAGGTTTTCCAGATTTTAGATTCAAACAATGATCCACTTGATTTTTTTAATAAAGTTTTTAATAAGGCAGCTGACCAATTTTGGGTACTGTTGTTGTCTTAAATCTTGTCCTAATCTCCCCAAACTTTTTCTTTTTTATTCAGCAGTTTGAGTGTGGGTGCAGGATTGCCAACTTAGTTAGGATGTTTGTGGTCATCATCGTTTGCTTCACATTAACTTTTTTTTGCTTAAAAAAAAAGGTTGACAAAAAACTTATCTCCAGCCTAATATTTCTTATTAATTCATTATTCTGATATATTTAACATGAATATAGTTGATTATATAATCTAATATAGCTGCTAATATTCAAACAAATGCAAACTTCTATCAGTGACTAATTTGGAAAGAAAAAATTATAAATTTGTTACTCGAAGAAGAAAATAAACTTAAAATTTCAAAGAGGTAAGCAACATTTAGATTACCTTCTGTTCTCTGTAATTTGTTATTGTAATACCTGAAATGTTATTTATAAAACAAGAATCATTAAAACTGTAGAATAATACTGAGCAAAAATATCAGCATTTCATCTAACGGCAAAAGGCGTAAAAGGGAGGCAAGACAGAAGTTGGAAAATATGTTTAAAAAATAGCGCTCCAATCCATCTTCTATTTCATATTTCCAGTCCATAAAGAAGACGTAAAAACACCCCATCATGACTGAGTTAAAATGCTATACCTGTAATTAAATGTCACATTTCCTTCTCTCAACCTGAATTATACATGCAGCTAAAAGTTAAACACCAAAACTTAATGAATAGGAATTAGATTAAGGTTCAAACCCTGCCCCACCCAAAACAACAACAAAATGCTACAACTTTAAGTTGCGGAAAGCACAAAAATATAGCAAAAATTCAGAACCAGGGGAATTAAATCAGGTGGAAACCCCAATAATTTAACACTATACTCCCTCTGTCTCAAAATAAGTGTCTCTTTAGCCTAAAAAATTTGTCCCAAAATAAGAGCCGTTTTACTTTTTCAATGCAACATTAATTGATTTTTATCAATTTTACCCCTAATTAATTATGTCTGCACTACTCTCAAGGCATTAAATTTCACTTTGCTTTTATGACAATGTAAAAGTAACCAATAATCATTAAGGACAATTTTCTAAATGTGTTATATTTATTCTTTCACTCATTACTTTTCTTAATCTGTATGCCACAACCTTAAAAGACTTTTATTTTGAGACGGAGGGAGTGCATATTAAGAGATAACCCCGAGATATGGAAAAGGCTTTATCAGTCACTGTTTTCTGACTTTATTAAGCAATGTGAAAGCTTTCTTAGAAAGCTTTAACAGCTGCAAAAATAGTACACAGTAATAAACCTTAAAAGCTAAAATTACATAACAAGACTCGGAGTAACATCCCTATAGATCTAACACTCCCCAACAGACACTTATGACATAATGAAATTTACCGAATGACACGAGATGATGATGATCTTGATGATGATGGTAATGCATTTCTACGGTTGCAAAATTTCTCCATGGCCTTGATCTCTTCAGCAATGATTCTGATTTCAACGCTCTTTGATATACTCTTTGGAAAGAACAGAAAACAAACAAGAAGCAGTCAAAAAAAGTTCCCCGTGTTTGAGTGTGGGGATTTTTGCTTAGTGGGTAAAGACAATTGAGGCTAGAACAAACCACAATCTCAGAATTCCATAGATCTTGGATTGCGATGGTTGTACCCTTATTTACAAAGTCATACTGCAACATGAAGAAATTTGTAACAAAATGTGTCAATCATAATTGCAAAGATCTGATAAAAAGCATTAAATATTGTAAATAAAAGCAGAGCCCAATGAGTAGCATATCATTTAACTAGCACAGGGAAAATACAATATTGATCATCAGTCGCATATAGATAGATGTCATACCTTCAAAACACATGGAAGCAGATCAAGAGTAGTCTTAATCTGGGCTGGTTGTCCCCAACGAAAATTTGGAGAATTTTTCCAAGCAAAGTAAATGGATTGAAAAGAAATTTTCCCATATAAGCAGTCCTTTTCACCTAATGCTGTCAAGTACAAAATGAAACTATATGAAAGATCACAAATCACCTTTTTCTATAATTAAATCAACATATTTTTTTGATAGGGTATATCCAAGAGTGGCAAGGCAGTCAAAACATCATATTTGTGTTTACATTTTTTGAAAGAAGAAATTCATTAAGGAAAAAAGATGGTGAGTCTGAATGATAAGAGATTCTCCTTCAAAAATAACAAAGACGACAAACAGAGATCAAATAAAATTTCAAAAAGTATGTAGGAGAAATCACTGTAAAAATAATATATATGGAGGCTGCTCAGGCAATAAAAAGGAAACAGAATAAATAATATGGAGGATGTTCAGGCAGTAACAAGGTAACAAAATAATTTGCCAAACCATATTTTTGCATGTATGAAGTTATCAATTGGTATATCTCACATTCATGAGAAGTCGGATCTAAAGGCCCCAGGCTTTCTTTGACTCTAGATGATGAAACTGAGTTCCCCTCTGCATGTAAATAGTTATAACAATGAATTTAGCAAAAAATATATATATATATATATATATGTGTGTGTGTGTGTGTGTGTGTGTGTGTGTGTGTGTGTGACAATTGGATTGCAAAACCATATTCATACCAGTGGTAAAAAACAAGAGAAAAAGTGAGCCAGAATTAGCCTCCGCAGCTAACTTATTAACTTCACAAAGCTTAAATTCTGCTGTGATTATTCTGTTCCCATCAACGTCGGATGAACCTCGAATGGTGACTATCTGACTAAGTAGATAAACAGTAGAATACTTTTTGTTTTTCGTAGGTTAAAGCAAAAAGTATTATGCAAGAGAAAATTTATTAAATAAGATATTAATAATCATACACTAAAATTAGTTAGCATAAAGAACAAAAACTAGTTCAGCTTAAGAGCACTATTCTTACATCAGCGTCTTTATTATTAGGATCACGCCTTGCTAGACTGACATAAAAAGGAAACATGTTTTGAATTTCTTCATCACTCCATGACAGAAAAACTGCTATTCGTATCCTAAACATTTGTATGAGATATCTCATCAGCATCTCAATATTTTTATTTACACTAAAGAACAATCAGAGAAAATAAGGCGACAGCCAAATTGAATACCGGCTCAAATGAAATAACTAGAAATTATAATAGCTTCAACCTTATCTCAAAAAACATAAATAATAAGTACAGCCTGAATAAAGATTAAAAAAAATGGCATCACAACGTCTACATAACATTAATTATCTTAAATGTCGCTTCATACTTAAAAAGATTATCAGCTACCCTGCTGAGGATGGATTAGATATGTCTGCCAGAACTAATTTGCCTATATACGTTAAGTGTGCACGAAAAAACAGAGATATTTGGTGATGAATCAACAATGACTTCTTATTTGTATACTAGAGTAACAAGATTATGTTACTGATGTTGAGTAGTAGTTGAATGGTTATCATATGCTCAACACAACATGGATGCTAAGATTTACTTTAAAGGATATATTTTATACCAATGAAAAACGCAACAAGGTTTACATATTGGCTAAGACCACTGAGCCTTATAACTGAACCAGATCCCACTTCTTGAGCTCCACATTTTATTTAAATGTAGCATAATTTTTTTCTTGGACTCTTGGTTAGAGATGCAATGCTTGCATATGAAATTTATTGAGCCTAATGCACTCAAATAGAACTACGCAACTATGAGCCGTTAATGAGTGTGCACGCGCTTGAGAGAGATAAAAAGAGACTTCATTGGTGTCAGTGTCAAATTTGGCATACTTACATCTTCAATATTGTTTCTTAAAAAATGAGGCATTAACCAATCCAACCATTGAATCGTGTTATATTACCTTAGTAATCATATATGCAGAGTTTCAGATGATTTAGACATTCATAAGCCTGTAATTTAATAGTTAGTGATGTTGTCAAATATCAGCCCTGATGACACCATGGCAGATTATGGTAGCGGATTTTTTGACAACCGCCGTGACCATTTTGTGAAGAATGGCGACATCATTACGTTTTATGGTGGATATAGCAGCATAAAATGGCGGGGTTTTGGCCTTTCCGCCATCCACCGTAGATAACACTGGTAGACACTAACTTTACATATCACATAATACATTGAAATGAAGTGGCGCTGTGAAGCACAAATAGTTCCCGATTTATTTTGTGAAATTTTGTTGACTTGATACACTAAATGAAAACTTTCACTTTAACAGCTGGATTGGTTAATTTCACATTTTCCAAAAGAATATTCATGATGTAACATGCTAGGTTTGACGCGTGATATCATCTAATAAGAAATTCATCAAGATGAAGAAGACAAAATTGCAATGAGAATGGGAGAATAAGGAATCTTCTTACTCAAAAGAAAAAAACATAAAGCAATGAAAGAAAAAAGAGAAAAATCAGTATAGTGAAGTTGCCCGGTCTTTCATCATATCTGTTAGTGAAACCCCATACAACAAAAGCTGCTACATCAATATCAGTTGAATCTCCCCACTTGAATGGAAACAATATTATGTGATGAACACATTACTTGGTCAATACATACCCCCACATGTACATCTCACACATGATAAACCACAACAACAATATCAACAGGTATTAAAGTTACTTAGTAGTCGAGAAATACAACATTTTCAGAAAAAGCTAATCCTAACTCGGCTTACACCAAGAAAATTCTATAAGTCCAAGTGCAAAACTATCAACTTAAGTAGATTCATTCAGCTGAGCCCATATCTCTTTTTCCTATCAAAATCAAAGTTGTCACTAATTTCATTATAATAGCGACACTCTACTTTGTTCTCAAATCCCAAACTATGAAATCAATCTCTTGCAAAGACAAGGTACTGTCCCAAACTATGAAATCAATCTCTTGCAAAGACAAGGTACTGTCCCAAACTATGAAATCAATCTCTTGCAAAGACAAGGTACTGTGTACAATCTCTTGAAACCAATCACATAAGGATATCAAAGGTTCAAGTGGATGGCATTGGTTCAAGATATGAATCACTCTATTGAAAAACCAAACTACTGACTACAATAAATCCACAATGGATCTGACCCTTCTTTGGACCCAACAACGATGGAAACTTTATAGCTTTAGGTTTCCCTTTGTGAAGATTAACATATAATATTAAATACATATGTCAATTTAAAAAAGGAAAATTACAGTTATATAGTAACCACCACAAAATGGCTCCCAAACTTCACAGAAATTATACCTATAAAATTCCTCTATTTGAGCTGAATGTTGCATAGACATCCAACAAGAGGATATAGAGTATCATTGACATGAATCTAAAAAAGGGAGGAAATAAGGGAGAGAGGATTATATATGATAGACTTTTACCTTTTGTTGTCCCTGGCCTGTATCCTGTACTGAAAACATCTCGGAAGGAAAAGTGGCTACAAAACAGACAGGCGTTCTGTTAAAATGCATTATGCAATAATATTTTTTACGTAAAATCTTGAGAGACCGTAAATCAAGAGGCCAGGAGATAAAAAGGAAAGGGAGTTATTAAGTAACTTCAGATAAGAAGTAAATAGAAAATATAAGAAATGGTTGGAAACAACACGTAGAAAAAGAAAAATCAAAGGAAACAATAATTCTAGAGATAATAAAACCAGCTTTGTAGCTCGTGCAATTTATCTCATGAAATAAAACAAATATGATAATTTACAAGGATAGATAATTTTAGCCAGTTAGATGAAATACTGCTGCGCTTTCTGTTGCACGGTGATGAAGAATGTTGTAGAACTCTACAGGCTTGCAAAAAACTGAAAGACTCTGTTCTGCAGCAAGTTTCTCTTCTGCAGATAATTGTGCACAAGCATCTAGAGAGCTAGGTTGTTGATCTGTGATTGTAAGATTACTGTAGGAGAAAACATATATTAGCATTGGGTATATTGCAGCATTTTCCGAAAAGAAAACTACAGTTGTTTCTCTTCCATGGGAAACTACACCGAAAAAATTTCTGAATGGAACACCTTTCTAAAAGAGAACATACCATAGTTCGCCATCAGCGACAGGATAGCCTGGCATTCTTGTCATACAAGTCTAGGATATAAGCACATTTAACGAAACCTCTGTGTATGTGAAAACAAACCTGCAATTGAAAATGGGGCACGAAATCACCAAAACGCAAAACCATATACTGAAATCCAGTAATGCGGATATTGGAAAGCACTGAATATTAGTGCACCATATTGCAGCTTAGACATCAATAAATGATAAATAAACCCAGTTTCTTTTTTTAAATTGAAAATCCACCAAACAAAGTAACACATGTTAATACCATTAAACGAAATTATCCTTCAGGTTTCCAAAACTTTATGGAATAATATATCGAATTCTCTATGGGGAAGAGTAAGCAATAAAGGCTCTGTTTAGAATAAACAACTTAATGACTCAAATTGTTTTCTTATAAGCTATACTTAGGGCCTGTTTGGATAAACAGCTTATTTGCAACTTTATAAAAAATTCAAGATAAGCGCTTATTATGAAAAAGCTCGCATAAGCTATTTTTATAACAAAAGATAAAATAAATTTAAATTGTTTTTTATATATGTTATAAGTTGTTTTCGTTAACTATCTTAAAGAATTTATAAAAATAAGTTCAAAAAACTTAATGAAAAATGTCATAAGCTGTTTTGATTAAGTTTCTCAAACAGTGTCAAAAAACTTATGGCAGTAAATAAGTTCAAATAAGTCGATCCATATCTTATATAGCTTATGAAAATAAGCTGAAAAACAATTCATAAATTGCTTCGGCGAGTGTTTACGTTACCAGATACCAGATAAGTTCAAATAAGTCAATCCAATCCAAACATAACCTAATAATAGCAATGTGCATACAAATCATATTTAAGCTAATACAGCCACAACGAGTGTAAAATGAAAATCGACAATGCAGAAGAAAACCTAAAGTAATAAGCATTGTGTGATAGAAATTCAGAAGAAAGAAACACTAAGAACAAAAAATCCAAATGAAAAATTGAGAGAATAGAAGAACCTGAATGGAAAGAAGAAAGGGGTTAAGGGATTGGAATATGAACAAGAGTAGCATAGCAATAGCATGAGGGAAACTGAAAGCGGTGCCGAATCGCGGAGAAAAACTCAGATTACCGATTAACGACCAACAGTGAAACCATTGCAGAAGAAGAATGATAGAAATAAATAACCAAAAATTGCATTCAAAAAAATATCAAACTTTGTTCTAAGTTTGCAACCATATGAAAATTAAATGAAAAATGAGAATAGCATGGGTTTATAAGGTTTAGTTAATAATACTAATACACTAATACACTAACTTTTTTACTATATGTCATGTCACATTCAAGAAAATTATTATCTTGATCTTAATAATTAAAAGTAAGACAATACCCACAATATATCAAGAAAAATTATGAAGAGATATTGTCTTGTTAAGATCTTTGAGAAAATTGGAGATGTTAGGGTTAGTTAATAAGTGAAATAAAATGCATTGAAGTAAAAATAAAAAACCTCTTCAAGAAAATAAGAGGGGTAAGGGAATGAAATCTGTCATATAAATAAAAATATGTGTGCTTTAATGGAATAAGGAAGGATCTAGTCATCAAGTTTTGTATTGATTTGAGTTGAGTTTCATTGGTTTTATTTAATTGTTGGATATAGATGAATTAAAACAATGACCAAACCAACTACTATGTCTTAAAGTTTTTAATTTTAATAATGGTTTCATTTTTACTCTAACATGTGAAATCTAATTTCTCAAGATATTCGAACTTTATTAAAAAATCAAAAATCATCTTGCACGACTCGACTCAATATCTCAAGAATAAAGTTAGAAGATGTTACACTTCAGAATTGTAAATGGCACAAAGCAAAGCGAAGAAAATAAGAGAAATTGTATTCTCCAAATAAAAGTAGGATTAAAACATTAAATCAAATTGCATCGATGCATATGTTTCATCGTGTATTTTACAAAATAGAGTCTTATAGTGACAACGATACAATGATAAATAACATTTGATCTTCGTTGAAAGGTTAAGAATTACCTGGCGCGGCTCGATTTCTAGTGATCTCTTCGAATCTCAAAAACAGAATTGAATCGTCTATAAAACCTAGGGTTTGTGAACGCTGCAAAATAAAACAAAATATGTGAGTGAATCAAAAGGACTATTTATATAAATTCTTAAATAAATATAATAAGAGAAATAATTCTATTCTACAATAAATATGAGATTGAAACAACAAATCACATTAAGACATGTGTTTTTATCTGTGTATTTTACAATAAAAAACAATAAATAATTATATGTGTCCAATTATATTAATAAAATACAAAAATAACTTAAAAGATTGGAACAAGAATGTTTTTTTTACTTTAGTAATGTTTTCATATCATTTATTTACATATTAATGTGAGATTAGGTCAATTATAAATATTAATTAAGTGGAAAAAGTTATTGTTCTGGTACTACCCGAGTTTGATTCTTGGTAGAAATAAGGCTTGGCCAGTGAGTCGTCCTTCTGAACTACGAAATTAGATTAGTCGGTTCACTATGTAGATTGGAACTCGTTGGCTAAACCCAAAAAAATGGAAGAAAAAAAGTTAGAAAAATGAATTTAGGAGGAAATTAGACTATACCCCCGTGTGCTATTGGGCCCAGTTCAATATCTGAACTTGGATCATTGCTAAACCAACCCCTCAATTTTGTTACTGCGTACAAACTTGCACCCCCTACATTTTTGGCTCAAATTCAATCTGAATTTAGGACCTTACTATACATACCCCCAGCCTTTTACTAACAAACTGAAAATACACTCCCCGATGCGTTTTATAATTTAAAATTAATTTATTTTTTAATTTTATTTATTTATTTATTTATTTATTTATTTATTCATTTATTCATTTATTTATATTTTTCTATTTTACTTTATTATAATTAATATTTTCATTTAATAAATTCTAAAGTTATTTTATTAATTCTTTTACTAACTCATTCAATATTTTAATTGCATTAAAATTATTTTTCCTCGTGCATTAAAAACTATTTTTTTATTTATTTAATATATTTGAAAATATCTAACCAATCAAAACTATTAACAATTTTCCACTAACCTAATGCAAACCTTATATCTATTTTCAAAAAGGATTATGGAGATATTTTTCATTAACTGCGAATTTCGTCTAAACAACTCCGTAATTTACAAACCCAGACTTGGTTCAAGGATTAATTCGAGATATCTTCGTAGTCCATAAAAAATATCAACCAACACTACGAACTACGAATTGGGACTTTGATTTCTCATAAGAGGATACGTAGGCATACGATAAAAACCGTGGCGAGTTCTAACTAAAAAATTAAAATCTTATTTCTAAACCGTAAACCTAAACCCTAGTATCCTTATGAATAAGGTAGATAAAGGGTGTCTAATATCTTCCCTTTATCTAAAGTGAGTCAAGAACTTAGAATCTATGTATCATCAATTAGGATTATTACGTTATATTTTTGCCTTAGGATAAAAATTAATGGTGGCGACTCTATATTTTTTGCCGGTTATTACAGTTGACGACTTTGTTGGGGACTCAACCCTATGGTTTAGAAGCATTTTCTTTTGATTTGGGGTTTTTAGGGTTTTTTATTTTAATATTAGCTTTATTTAGTTATTTATTTACTTTTTTTATTATATTATTTATTATTTTTATTCATCTGTTGGCGGGATTTCATTAAAAAAATTATTTTCCAAAAAAAAACTTAGAAAGAAGGTTCATCTATTGGCCAATGGGATACATCATTCTTATGAGTTTTTGTGACGACTTCACCTAGAGTCGGTGAAATTCCAAAAAAGAAATATGTCTCAAGAGATATCCTCTTGGGGGATAGGACTTTGGAATGAAACTTATGACTCTTTGTATAACCATAAACCAAAAAATCATGGTGATACCTTGTACGACCTTAGAGACGAAAGTTTCAGTCTGCAAAGAGGCTTCACTTAAGGGAGGCCCTTGTGTCTTTCCCTCTAGTGTTATCCATGATACCCTTAAGGAAACCACCTTATAGGGATGGTAGAATATTCATAGGCCAAAATTAGGAGCCTGCCAACTAAAGATACCTTTCATGAAATCCTGTTACTATCCCACACAATCATGCATACATACATCTTGTATTTCACATATTCATTATCCTTCATTCTTTTTTGTATGTCTTATTCACAGGATTAAAAAAATATAATCAAAGGTTTTTTGGTGAAGTGTCTTAAAAATAAATTCCAGAGGGAAACAACTTGTATGTGTTAATGCCCTCAAGCTGGATATGACGAAGATCAAGACCATCAGAGGGAAACTGTCTGAAAGAGCTTTGAAGATGTTTACTCGCTATTATGGGGATACTCTTGAGTTGACAAAAGTGGATGTACAATTGGATGATATCTCTGCCTTGGTTCAGTTCTACGATCCTCCATTGAGGTGTTTTACCTTCCAAAACTTTCAGCTAGCACCGTCTTTGGAAGAATTTGATAGACTTTTGAATTTTTCTAAGAGAAAATCATATGTGAGAGTTGGACAAACTATTGATGTTAATGACTTAGCAAATGGTTTAGGGATTCCTTATCCTGAATTTTCACTTAATTACAAGAAAGAAGTTGGTGTGCAAGGGGTTAAAAGACACTATTTGGAAGCTAAAGCCCTTTCTTTTGCCATTAACAAAGAATAGGAGTCTTGTGTTGATTGTTTAGGGTTACTTGTATTCGATATAATTTTGTTTTTGCATACTTTGGACTATATTGACCCTGCAACTATTAGTGTATTTTGGGGCGCAACAACTTTGAATACGGACCCAACTCCTGCTTTGCTTAATGATATTTACTATGCTCTTCATACTTGTTACGAAGAGGGGAGGGGTACTCTAAACTATTGTATCTTTCTCTTATATTCTTGACTTATGAATCACCTTTATAAGGAAGACTACTTGGTTCCAAATATGACAAGATGCGAGTGGCCTCAAAAATTAAGGTATCTTACTGTTGATTATGCATTGTGGTATGCAAGAAAGCTAGACATTGGAGAT